CCCGGGAATGGAGTTCTGGGAAGTCGAAGAACACGAAGCGGCCTACAGTTGGCTCCGGGCATTCAAAATGTGGCCCGGGAATGGAGTTCTGGGAGGTCGAAGAGCACGAAGTGTGCGACTGTTTGCTTAAAACGAGCCCGGCCCTGAGCCCGGCCCTCGCTGTCCGGATGCCGCCCAGACCTCCCTTCTGAGTCATCAGATGCTCTCTTTTGACACCACTAGAAACCTATCAGTCTTCGCTGTTAGGTAAAAACACGAATATTGTAAAAATTAACGTTGTACGAAGGGAACGGGGCTATGTTTGCCAATCGGGGCCCTCGTGGGGGGCAAATTGCAAGGGTTATGAGGCGTCTTCGAAGCCTCTGGAGCCGTTGGAGACGTCCCGTGATCCGTCGAAACTGTCTTCAGGGTGGTTGGCGGCTGGCTGGGGACCGCCCTCCGAGGCGACGTTGGCCCCCCGAGGTCCAGCCGGGCCCCTGGGCCACACATTTGCGGTGGGGGTCGTGGCCTCCGGGCCCCCGGGCCCGCCCCCCCGTTGTACGTCTGGGAGGCCTCTGGGGGTGTCTTGGGGGCCATCGTGTGAGTCTCGGGGCGGCCTGTGCATCTTGGAGTGGCCTGTGGGCGTCGCGGGTCCCTCTTGGTCGTCTTCGGGCTCTCTTGGCGCTTTCTGGTGGCGTTTTGTGGGCCTCTGGGACCCCCCAAGGGCCTGCACACACACACACACACACACACACACACACACACATTCACACACAACCACACACACACACCACACACACATTCACACACACACACACACACACGCACGCACGCACGCACACACGCACACACGCACACACGCACACACGCACATGCACACGCACACGCACACGCACACGCACACGCACACACACACACACACACACAACACACACACGTTTGCGGCAGAAGTCGCGGCCCCGGGGGCCCGGGCCCAAGTGTGCCGTTATATGTATATGCACACCCACACACGTACGACTGCTCCTCGGCATGCCACTCCAAGCTAGTCGCAGCGGCCTCACCTGTATGCCTCAATGCCTCCACGGAGCATGCCTCCCCCAAGAAGGAAAGACGTCCACGATTTCCGATAGTCCGATGGGCAGCCACGGCTCAGTCGTGGGTCACGCACCCAAATCCGCAATCCGCGGAGCCTCTGGCGCTGCCTGGGCTGGAGCAGCCCTTGACCTTGACCTTAGAAAGAGCGTGTTCTACTGCTGCTGGCATAAAGCCGTGGGGGATCCACTAGGGATTCCCAACCCGTCCCCCTCCCCGTCCATCATGAAAGGGGGAGGTTCAAAACCCCCCTCCCCCCCTCGCCGCCGGCAAACGATTCCCGCTCCTCAGGACAGTGGGACAGTGGTGGGGACACTGGTGGTGGTGGGGACAGTGGTGTGGGGACATTGGGACACTGGTGGGGACAATGGGACAGTGGTGGGGACGGTGGTGGTGGGGACAGTGGTGGAGGGGGCAGCGGGACAGTGGTGCTCGCGCCCAGCCCAGCAAGCGACCGACCTTACGACACCCAAAGCTGGGCGGGGCTGCGCAATGAAGATCAGAAGCATGGACCCAGCCGCACGTGCTTGACGAGCGAGCAGGCCTCCGAACAACAGTGTGACAGTGAATTAAGTGGCCTTCCCTTGCGACGGTTCGAACAGATCAGCGCGATCGAGGTCACTCGAATTCACCTTGTCAAACGCTGCGTCCTCCTCAGAACGCAAAATATTCAGAACGGCGACAACAGGGTTACCAGCATGGTGAAACGCAGTGCCCAAATAAACGGGTCTCCACGCCTTGATCCCAGCACGCATTCTCGTGATGCCCATGATGTACCACGTCAAGGGGTCACCATCAAACACAACATCAAAGCGGCACAGCACACACCCGACGGCCAGAACTAACCGCATACAGCTGCGGATTGACCTTTCAGAACACCCTTCAGCTCCACGGATGACGCGGGGCATTTGACGCTCTTTCCAACCACGAAGGGAAATACAACACACGGCGAACGCAGCTGACATGCTCGATGCGGTCGTCAATGAACAACGCCTCTAACGTCAGCGCCACAAATGCCAGCCACAACGACAGCACCAGCGGGCTTATGGGCTCGGCAAATCCCACCAGCCCTCCGGGCGAAGGTGGTCTAGGGAGGCTCTTTTTCCGACCACCTTCCCCGTCGGGGAAGGGGTTGCCCCTCCCCCCGACCCTCTCCCCTGGACCTGGACGGGGCGCCCCGCGAAGTGTCAGAGGGTATTTTTTTCGCCCAAGGTGGCTCCAAGAGGGCCTCAAAGAGCCCAAAATGATTTCCAAGATGGCTCGAGATAGCCCAAGGTCGGCTCCCAAAATGCTCCAAGAGGCCCTAAAAACGCTCCAAGACGGCTCCACGACGCCTCCGGGACCTCCGAAGAGGCCCCCAAGAAACCAAAATCTGTCAAACACCTCAGGAAACTCAATGAGATTTGTTTTCTCGCCTTTTCGTTTCCGATGGCCAGCCTACACCTCAAGACATGGCCCAAGAGAACCCCAGGAGAGGCCCAAGAAAGCCCCAAAACGGCCCCATGAGCGCCCAATAGCGCCCCAATAGCGCTGCAAAAAGGGTCCAAGAGGCGAATTTCGGTGCTCCCGAGGGGGGGGGCAAATTGAAGTTCCCTTCTCTTTGGACCGATGTCCCCCAAGATAACCCCACGAGCGCGCCTGAAGCTCCCAAGGGCGCCCCAAGAGGGCCCCAAGAGGCGCCCAGACGGCTCCAGGAGGCCTCCAAGCGGCCCCCAAAAGACCCCATACGAGGCCCCCCGAAGTACACAACTCTCCCTCATTATTATCCTTCTTGTTCTCCTCGTCCTCGCCCTACTCCACCTCCTCCCCCCCCCATTTCCTCCTTTTCCTCGCCCTCCTCCTTCTCCTCCTCCTCCTCCTCCTACGACGACGACGATGGCGACGACGACTCCATTCTCCCACTCTTGGGGTACATAACGGCTTCCCCCGACCCTTGTTCTTCTGCATGCTCCCCCACTTCCCTGATCACCTCAACTCCCCTGGGCATCGTTTCTGGATGGGGTGGTCGGGATACTGTGTGGTTCGCGGGCGCGCGAAGCGGGTCGGACGCCGGGCAGGCAGGGCTGGTGGGGATACTTTTTTGCTCGCGAGCGCGCTAGGGTGCCAGGCGCCGTCAGGGAATTGCAAACTAGCAATGGCATAAATTACCCACTAAGCGCGCATGAGCGAACTACGCTGCGACTCAAAAGCGAGGGGGGCCCAGAACAGTTCCAGGTCAACGTGCAGCGGCAAAATGGCGAAGAGCAAAATGACGTCGAATTCGGAGACCACCAGGAAGTCGAAGAGGGCAATGAACTTGCGTGCGGGTGCTAGACGGAAGAGTTCCGGATCGCCAAGAGGAGGGTGGGCAGAATTGGCGGCTACGGGCGAATCCCAAGCCCGAGAGCCCAGGGGCACCCCGAAGAAAGGGGCACGCGGTCAACCTCAGGGCGCTCGAAATGGCAGCGGAGAGGGAACATGGTGCAGACCGGCGACCGTGGTCGGGGGGCGGTCCCAGCGGCTTCATGCACAAAGCTGGGGCTGCGGGGGGAACCATGGGATACCAACGCAGGGCGAGGACCCCAACTCTGCAGAGCCTGACTACGGAGCGTATGGACTCACCGAAGACGTTGGCCACGGCGCGAAAAGCCGCGGGTGTGCCCTGTGGCCTCGCGCGCCAGGGCGGTACCGCCGGCGTAAAGCTGGTGGGGATGCGCGAAGCGACAACAATTTCGTCAGCTTCAACGATGCTTTTGGGGTTGTCGTGCGATTTCCATCCACGGAATCAGCGAAGTGGGGCGATACACTGCCCCTGGATGCCTACCTGCCGCGGCGCTGGTTCACGTTCTGATTACTATTGTCTTCAGCCCCGCCCCACGACCTACCCACGACCCACCCCACCCTAGCCCCTCGAACCGCCCAAATACCTACCCGACAACCGCCCCACGACCCACCCGCGACCCGCCCGCGCCCCGCCGCGCGATTCGACCACCGACACGCCGAGCATCCATCTGCGACACACCCAACACTATGCGAAAAAATACACCTGCGCGGGTTCTTCGTGTAATGCGCAGTTCTCGAGCCGCCCAAACTGCCAACGACCCCCCCGCAACTTCGGGGGGGGCGATGGTACTGTACCTGCACTTCTGGGCCCAGGCGGGGTTACTTCACCGATGCGGCCTTTGCAGCGTCGTCGCCATTGGGGCCTCGGGGGGCGAGGGGCGGGGCACACGGTGAAGTCACACGGGGAGGCCACACGATGAAGCTACATGAAGAGGCCACGCGGAAAGACCACGCGGGGGAGCACACAGACGCGTCATCACTCTCACCCGCTCTCGTGGAATAGTGAACATGCTCGGGAAACTCGGATGGCAAGAGTACGGAGGTCTCTCCACCATGCTGGTATCAACTCCATTGCAAAACCACCCGCTGTCTTATCGGATCACAAGACATGTCACTGTGCAGTTTGCGCAAGGGGAGGAAAACCCATTGCTCACAGGGGTGGATTCACAGGAACGCATCGCGGTTTGGGAAGGAAGAGGGCCAGACCGTCGAAGCACTTTTTCCACTTCCACTGCGCGGTTTACGAACAGGGGGATAAACCGCATGGTCCCAGGGGGCCGCGCCTTTCGTGCTCTGAACATGAATGGATTCGGAGGGGCAAGTGGGACGCACAAGAACGCGTTAGCACGACGCTCCTCCTTGGAGGCGTGCGTCCGGCCAAAACATATACTGCAATCGTACTGTATGAGATCATTTCTCCAGCGGTACGGCCAGAAAGTGCCCGCCACAGAGCTAATGCTAGAAGATTTTTCGGCGCGCGCATTGAGCCTTGGGGGGCGGCGCACAGCTAGAAATAGTAACTTGTCTTGCGGCGACGCCGAAAGGAAAAGAATGGAACAGGACGGGGAGAGGAGAGCGAAGCAAAAAACGACGATCACGACGAAAGCCTGGCTTCAGCGGCACACCTAGCCGGCCCATCTCCGCCAGCATCGCGCCGTGGTGCTCCGGCAGGGCCGCCTCTTCCTCTGGGCCGCCAAAAAAACCGAACGCGCCAGGGGAATGGGAAACGCCCCAGAGGGGACCAGGCAACGGGATCCCAGCCTGCTTCCCTCCTCCTCCTCCTCCTCGTCCTCCTCTTCCTCTTGCTCCTGCTCCTACTCAAAATCCTCCTTATCCCCCCTCTCCTCCTCCAACTTCCCATATTCCGCTTCTCCTCCTCCACCCCCTCATCCTTGTCCTCCCCCCGCTCCTTATAGTGATCATCATCATCATCATCATCATCATCATCATCATCATCATCATCATCATCATCATCATCATCATCATCATCATCATCATCATCATCATTAGCATCATCAGCAGCAGCAGCATCATCACTATCATCATCATCATCATCATCATCAGCATCATCATCATCATCATCATCATCATCATCATCATCATCATCATCATCCCCATCATCATCATCATCATCATCATCATCATCATCATCATCATCATCATCATCATAAGCAGCAGCATCAGCATCATCATCATCAGCAACAGCATCGCCATCATCATCATCAGCAGCATCATCATCAGCATCATAATCAGCAGCATCATCATCATCCGAATCGTCATCATCATCAACATCATCAACACAATCATAATCGTAAGCAGCACCATCAGCATCAGCATCGTCATGATCAGCATCGTCATCATCAGCAGCATCATCAGCATCATCATCATCATCGTCATCACCATCAGCTATCATCATCATCATCATCATCATCATCATCATCATCATCATTAGCATCATCAGCAGCAGCAGCATCATCACTATCATCATCATCATCATCATCATCATCATCATCATCATCATCATCATCATCCCCATCATCATCATCATCATCAGCATCCTCATCATCATCACCAGCATCATAATCAGCATCAGCATCATAATCAGCATCATTATCATCAGCATCAACATCATCGTTACCATCATCATCAGCATCATCATCAGCATCATCAGTATCAGTATCAGTATCAGTATCAGTATCAGTATCAGTATCAGTATCAGTATCAGTATCAGTATCAGTATCAGTATCAGTATCATCATCATCATCATCATCATCATCACCATCATCATCATCTGCATCATCTGCATAATCTGCATCATCTGCATCATCTGCATCCTATCCTCAACTTCATGTCATCCTCCTTTTTTCGCTATAATCCTAGTCCCGAATCCTCTTCATCATCTCCCTCCTCATCCTGATCCCCTCTCCTTTGTAATCATCATCAATCACCCCATGATCATGCCTCCTCATTCCACTAGGCACCTGCGTCTTTCATCCCTCATCCTTCATCGTTTTGCCCCCTCTTCATCTCATCATGCATCTTCATCCTCCAGCCCGTCGTCGGCCTTCCCGTCTCGCTCCTCATCCACATACCCTGGCTGCGCGAAGACTTTTGTGCTGACCAGCTTCCTTGATGCTGGGACTCAGGGTGCCATCTGAGACCGCGCCCACCACCGAAGGATCTGGTGGCCTCCTGCCGCCAAACTCGCTGATGCCCGCGCGCATGCCGGGCCCGCGGAGACCGCTGCGCTGGGCGCCGCGTCACCTCTGCCGCCCGCTCGGCGACGTCCGGCAGGGCGCGAGCTAACCAATGTTTTCCGATTTCGTGTCGTTGTCGTGTTTCCTCGCTCTGACTTCGTTCCGGCATTGCTACAAAACGATGCGATGACAAGCGAAAAACGGTCCACGAAATCGCCCCCGAAACACAATTCAGCTCGCGCCCTGACGTCCGGCGCGACTCCCCGCTGAGCTGGCGTGGGGCTGGAGGCCAACGTGGGGCTCGGAGCCAACACGGCTATGATGGATTGGAGAAAAAACGCAAAAAGGCCAGAGGAGCGGGACGAGGCAAAAAGAGAAGCTGTAGCAGCAGGTGAATCAGAAGGTCGAGGATGAGGAAAAATGACAGGTGGGGAGGGCGGAGGGAGAGGAGGAGCAGGAGGGGGAGGAGACCAGAAAGGAAGTGGAGGAGGAGGAGCCCGAGGAGGAGGGGGGGGTGAGGCACGGGAACGGAGAAGCCGACGCGAAGGCACGCTCCCGGATCGCACCTTCACGGCGAGCCTCTCGGGGGCGACGATGGGGGCGAATTGCCCAGGGGAGAGCACTACGTACATGTATCCAGGGGCGACGATGGTCCATGCCTTCGGCGAGGCTCCCGGACAAATGCGTGTGATGCCCGCCCGTGGGCTATTCGCCCCTATCGTCGCCGCCGACTCTCCGCCCGCGCAATGGCGGCCCACCAGGCAGGGCCCGCAGTGCAGGGGTCGCCCCGTGGCCGCCCAGGGCTGCTCGAGCCCGGCGCAGCGGGCGGCGCCGCACCTGCTCCGAGCCCGGCCCCGCCGCCTCCCCGCCTCGGTCTCGCGGGGTTCCCAGGCAGGGGCCGAGAAGACCGAGCGGCGCGGCAGAGTGCAGGGGACGGCAGAGGCGAGGCGGGCCGAGGAGGGACGATCTTCCGGGCACGCCCACAGGAGGAAGCCCCCTGGGCCACCCCTCGCCCGGAGCCGAAGCCAGGACCAGGCACAGCCCAGGGGGCTTCCAGTGAGAAGCCTCGGTCCCTCGGTCGCCAAACGCTCACGTCGCGCGACCGAACGCCACGCCCCGAGAGCCCAGGCGACGGGCCGAGGAGGACGGGGAGCGGGAGGAGTGGGGGGGGAGGAAGAGTGATGCCGACCAGCGACGAGACGGGCTGAAGGGCAGGAGCGATGAAGAGCGATGAGGATGACAAGTGAGGACGAAAGCGAGTGTCTCATCTCAGCCAGCCAGGGAAGCACGCGATGATGCACAACACAAGCGCACGATACACAAATCCGCCGACGCTCGCTTGGCGTGTTCCCTCCCCTTTTACCTCCCAGGGTCGTCCAAAGTCCCGTTCTAGGGAGGAGGGGGGTACGAACTGCTCAACGCACCTCTGAGGTCGCGAAGCCTCCAACTCCACCTTGCAAACCCTCCAAGGATCAGGGTGCGCTCCAACATTGCAGAAGAGCTCCAATACGCCCACGGAGACTCAAGAGGACCAACGTTGGCCGCAAAACAGCTCCCGAGGCCCCGAAGAAGCACCAAGGACCCTCAAGAGGGCCCGAGGGCCTGAAGACGCAAACATCACTGATTTCATTTGATTGCACACATAAAGCGCCTATTCAGACTGCCGAAAACTCACGCCGCCCCTGAGACCAGCCCTAGTAGACCACCCAAGAGGCCCCCAGGGGGGGCCCCGAGAGACAGCCCCAAGAGGCCTCAAAGATGACCCAAGAGGTCCCCACAAGCTGTTTGTTCTGCTGTCAGTTAAGCTTCCGAAGAAGCTGTCGAGTAGGTGAGAAAGTACAAGTATAAGACGATGAAGATATCGACGGTGCTCCCCCAGTCCAAGCACTTCTTCTTTGGGGTCTTGCCTTGTCTCAACCTCCCCGATGCTTCACAAGTAAATGCCGTGAGGGCCGCCTGGCCACACAAAACGACTTGGCCCTCCATGCACAAATCGCGAAGCTGCGATTCCGCCCAACATCCATAAAGCCCACAGGAAGTGAAGCGGCATTTGCTCCAGGCGGCGTGGCTGTAAGGCTGTGCCCGTGGACGAAAGCTAGAGAAAACAAGCGGGGTGGTCAATTCAAGCCTACACCAAAAATCATCATCGATTGGTTCTTTGCCGACCTGCGAACCCACCACTCGTCGCCCTCGAGCACGCCTTTGGCGATCGGGCGTGGGAAACCAAATTAGTTATCCGGGATAGACCTGGTCAGGGCAGAGCCGTGTCTGGTGTCCCCTAATGCGATATGGGAAAACCCTGGAATCGCTTGATCCAGGAAAGTTCATGTTTGAGGAGAGTACTGCACAATGTCTACATAGGGCGCAGACTGTGATCTGGGAAACCTCGAGTGGAATGCAACCTGGGCAACTCTGGAGCGAAAGCGGAGGCCCGAATCGGGAATCATCCCTGACCACCACCTGCACACTCAACCCTCGTCGTCGTCATCCTGCTCCTCCTCCTCCTCGTCGTCATTCTCCTCGTACTCCTCCTCCTCGTACTCCTCCTCCTCCTCCTCCTCTTCTTTGTCCCTCAAGCCACTTTGGCCCAAGCAATTCGTTTGGGCATTCCCAATACCTCAACTGGGTGCTTGAGTGATTTCACGGTCTCTCTGACCCCACATTCAGGTCGTGCTAACGAAAGCTGGGAATACAAGTTGCCCCAATCTGTCTTCACGGCCCCACCATGGGAAAGCCAGTGCGAGATTGATCAAAGTGCCAGCAAGACGCGCCTTTTCAAGCCTGCGCAAGCCTCAGAATCGTATAAAGGGGAAGTGCGGAAACGCAGAAGTCATGAATTTCTTTTCGGCGTTCAACGATTTGGGGCCCTCAAAGGCTCCGTGGCTCTGTTTGGGGAGGTGAGGGGGGTCTGAATTGTGGTCTGTTCCAGTTCCTCGGCGCTGTTCGGCGCTGTTTTCTGTTTGTGCCTCGCGGGTTTTGTTAACCAGGCCCCTCAGGGGTGTGGGATCTTCCGGACCACCTGGGAGTTCTAGAGGCTTTCTGGAGGCCTGGAGAACCGTCGGAAGGGTGTCTCGGGCTGCGCGGGAGCGTGTTGGGCCGTTCTTTACGTTCTGGGGACTCCTTGGGGTCGTCTTGGGCTGTCCTTGGGCGTCTTGGAGGCCCCCCGGGAAGCCGGGAGGCGCGGTGCTGGCCAGATGTCAGGGGATGTGTGGGATCTCCGAGTAGGAGTCCACCTTGAAAAAAAAAGGGGATTCTGGGAATTCCCTGTTTTTGCCAAAATCCTAGATCTTCGAGGGTTGGAAGCGGGAAAACGTGAGAAGGCGAAAAACAATAGAAAAATTGGAAATCAACGATGTTACCCTCTTTGGACTCTCTCGGGACGGCTCTCGCAGCTCTCTTGGGCTGTTCTTCTTTCTTTTTTTTTTGCCTGGGCCGCGAGAGCGCCCGCCAACGTTTCGGCTCCGCCGGCGGCCATGCGGCGGTCTTACCGGGGCCGCGCAGTTTGCGCGGCTGGAAGGGGGGGGGGGGGGCAAGGATGGGGGGGTGCATTGGGGGAATGTAGGAAAGATCAGGATGGCGGAGGGGGCAGAGGGTCGATTGGCATATGGACAGGAACCTCCGACACTGCATGGTGAAACTCGGGTCTCAACGCCCGATCATCCTTGCCAAATAACGCGCGCGGTTCCTCAGGACCCGGCCGCTACAGGCGCCCGGATCAGGGCGTGAAGCTGTAATAGGCTCGCTGGCAACTGTAAAAGTGCGGGGGCCGCTCGTGGCGCTGCGTGATGTCGGGTCCCTTGGGGCGTCCGCTGCAGCGTGCGCTCAAGCTGCCAGAGCCTCCAGATGCAGACCGCGTCTGCCGCCACGAGCCGCCAGAGAGCGCCGGGAGCGCGTCTGCGGCCGCCGCAGTTCTCCCGACGCGTCCTGCGGCCCGCAACTGGACTGCTCCAAGCGCGGCCTGCGCGTCCGCGTCCGCCTCCTGAACCCAGCTCGTGGACAGCAGCGCCACCGCCTCCCCTGGCTCCGTCGGCGCCGCCCCCTCGGGCGCGGCCTCCTCGCAACTGGCGGTGGCCGTGGCCATGGCCGCCGCGGCCCAAGCCCGCGCCTCCTCCAGCACTGCGGCGGCCTCGCCCAACTTCCAGCGATTGTGGGCGAGGATCGCCTCCTTGAGTTTGGCGTTGTTCTGGAACCACTCGGGGTTCTGCACGCTGTGGTTCAAGAAACTCCTCTGCGGGTGACCGCCGCAGCCGCACCTGGAGGAGGAGGCCCCCATCGGGGGCAAATACTTCCTCAGGGGCCCCAGCTGCTTCCCCGTGGCGGGCCGGAGGCCCTCGACGCCAGAGCGGTGGAGCCACAGCGCCACGAACCTGCCGGGGATCCCGCAGAAAGGCCTCACTGTCCAGTCCAGGGGAACGTCCATCGCAATGTCGAGGTCATCTATGCCACCAAACTCCTCGCGCGTGCCGCCGTCTTCGAACCACCTCCCGCAGATGCCAGCGGTCCTGTTGCACACCAGCAGCACCCTGGTGGGGGCGCCCGGGGGCACGAGCTCCTCGAGCACCGAGAAAACAAAGTCCCTCGAGCGGTCGTGGCCCCAGTGCTTCTCTTCGGCGCCGCAGATCGATGAATACACACTGGCCGCCTCCGACTCCGTCAGGACGACCAGAGTTAGCGATGGGGAGATGTTGAGCTCGTTGCACAACGTAAGCCCTGAGACGCTAGATACTCGCCCTGGTGAGTAGGACATAACTGCCACGGTATTGCTCTTGACGTGCGTGTAGTCCAAGGCCTCCTTGATGTGCGTCCGCGCGTTCTGCTGCACGTGCGGTAGCAACCGCTGGTGGCACAGGAGAGCCACCTTCGCCCCGAGCATCGCGGAAACCAAGCCGGCCAGCAGCCCGTCCTTCCCCATCAGGCAGAAGGCCTTGTTTTGGAGCGATTGCCCAGGCAGCTGCTCCAGCAGCGGCCGGCCCACGATGAGGTTGGCCACCTGGCAAGCGAGGTCCGACGCGAAGAATGACTGCATT